CAGAGTCTAAAGGTTGAGCCTACTTCAAGTGGAGATGGAAACATGTGTTTCTGAACTAATCCAACTTCAGACTGTAGCTGATATGCCTCTTTACTGTTAAAATTACAGAAGGGGTTGAGAAAACTTCTTGGTTTATAAGGCCACAATGCAGAAGCATATTCTGAAAGGAGCAAAGACAACCAAACCTGGCTCACTGAATTTTTTAATCTTTTGGAAAAGCACAGGTATCCACACAGAGATAATGAGTTCCTAGTTATCCTACAGAAGGGAATCGAGTGTCTTGTCAAAAAAAGCTACTGGGATGCACACACTCATATTTTTAAATATTGCCCTGTCTTAACTTTTTATTTAGATTTTGAAACCTTCAGTGGTGTGCATTTAATCAGCAGTAGATTATTACTTGAAGTTACCCTCACAGTGTTCTTCTATCAAGATAACATATTTTTTTCTATGTTTGAAGCAGGAAAAGAACTGATCAGATTTGACATATGTGTTACACATACTTACATACAAAACCACACACATGCACGTATCAATCTGTAGAGAATTCTAGTAGCTTTTATCAAATACTTCCAAGCAGGTATCGAGAAACATAAAGTACAGGTTAGTGTCAAAACTTAAACCAGTACAGCATCCAAAGTACGGTGGTTAACCAAACATTTTGCTTTCGGTTAGATCAGGTGTAAGGCCTGATTTTTATTAGCTCGGAAGTGGAGCCCTCTACTGGGTGAACCAAGGACGCACAATATCGCTCCCCGCCGTGCGGCATTCGCTTTCCTTGGGACACACTGCCTTCTGCGTGCTCCAAACCACCCTCGGTGCTGCTGAGAGTCCAGCCAAGACTGTGGCCCAATGCAAAAAAGTCCTGAAAAAGGACGGCACTCCTACACATTGGCTTATGTCCCCAGGACACTACTGACTGGACTATGGTCTCAGCCTGACCACTGCAGCAGTCTTGGGGAGCTCTGAGTTTAACTCTAAGAGGAACTGGATCAGCCTTTACACTGCTCCAGTCCAGCTGTTCTGCTACCCATCCTTGCTAACATTCTGTGTAGCTAAAAGTAAAACGTCTGCACCTTGGTGATACTGCCATGATCTTCACCTAATCCCCAAAAAGCGAGCAGTTACTTGTAAGGCAGCCTTATTACCTCATTAATTCTTGATCCTCTGAATAGTAAAACCTACTTCTTCCGTCTTAAAACGACAATATTTCACAGTTGGAGCATTTATTTACAACGTTATGTACAAGCCTGAGAAACTGGGATAAACTGAGATGAAAGCATCTCAGCTTGAGTCAGTGCACAGGCTATTAGAGGCTTTGATTCATCCATACAACCAGATAGCTCTTTCCTGCCTCTGCAATAGCTTTTCCTCTACTTTTCACCAGTTCCCCACATCCCCTTGCTCACTCGCCACATGCCCCTTACTCTTTGCCTTCCTAAAACAGACCTTAATCTCACACACCCAAAACTCCTCCACACTCTTTAACAACCCCCAACCGCAGCAAGGACTCTCATCTCCCTGAACTTCCCATGAAAAATCACCTTCCAATTCTTCCAACACCCCACCTTTCTCTGTGTGACCTGCCTTCTCACTACTAGTGTCAAAATTAGTGCCCCAAGCACCTACTGGGACCCACAGACAACTCTGAGATCTGCATCCAGGGCAGGCCTCCTCCAAACAGGAAAGCCAGGAGCCTGTATGATCCCAGACAATCAACTGAAATAACCCTCCTGTCTTCTATACCTATAAATATAGCCTAATATAGACTATTTTCCAGTGTTTATCTTCACAACTCTGGATAATCCATGAGATTCTGTGAGACAAGACACTTGATTGCCTTCTGCAGGATAAGCAGCACTGTTTGCTGAAATCTATTACAATTAAGCTTTCTTCTAGGTTTTGAATAACATATTTAGAGACTTGTACTTTGCTGTTCACTGAAAAATCAGCATTACTCTTTAAATTAAAGCCTGTGCAGCTGTACATCAAGTTGGGGTGTTCAAATGGGATAGGAAATCACCTTGCTTGCCCAACAACATCTTCGGGCTTTCGTACTGATAAACTTGAAGAAGGAGACAGGAATCAGAAAACTGATCTAGTTTTCTCCAGCCTTATTTTTCTTTCAACATTACTTTTTCTTCGCGGCTAACCAAGAATCCACGATTCTATGAACAGGTATTATAACTTTAGTACTTTAACTATTGTGTAGAAGTAAGCACTACTCTAATTCACAAATGCAGAGTTTGCTGACGAACAGGAAAAAAAACAATCTGATTGTTCTGTGATAAATCAAGTAAAGGTGTAGAAGTAACTTCCTCTTTTTGAATTACGGCACGCAAAGCATCATTCTAGCTAAAATATGTCCAACTAAAGATGCCCAATTTAAGATACTAATTTAAATATACAGTAAGATATTAGTCCAGTTGCTTTCTTTCTATTGTTCCCAGGCAAGAAGAATAATTAGTGGGTGATGCAGTAAGAAAGAACCCCCACATTTGTGCAAAGATCTCCTTGCTATTCAGATCATTATCTCCAACGCTACATATGTACTGCATAAGATACCACTAAAACTTCATGCACAGCCTGTTTAGACAGAATGTTCTCATCTTAACAGAAAGAAGTAAGAAAGCAGGAAGCCATCACTCCAGCCTGTGAAAAAGAGAAGAAACCTGGCAGCAGTGGCTTTCCTGTTATCATTTAGTTGTCATGACATTATTTTCAACATGTAAAATTCTTTCTGCTTAAAACCACTTAACTTCTCCACTTGTAAAATTCTATTAAAGATTGTAATTCTCAAAACAGTTGTATGACAAATAAGATATATTTTATTGGAATCTTCCTTTTATTACAATGCTTCTAAACAATCTTTATGACAAATCAAGCCACTACAAACAATAATCTCAAAGATGACAATTCTGAAAAACACATCTTAAGAGTCTTCTATGAGAACTATAAAAACAGATCACTTCAGATGTTCAGGTCAGTGAATGATTTTGCTGTGGAAAAATGGACTCATGTCCTAGTCCTGCAAATTTACAGAACATTATATGAAGATTCAACTTTTGAAAATTATGCAAACCCTTTACAGGCTTAACAGCAGAGGCTAGCTAACCATAGACTACAAAGCCTGAAAATTTTTACCTGAGTTATTTGTTGGCATATTAATAGATGTGCAAATGTTCTACTAAAAAAACTTTCCACTAGACAGGATGGACATTGAAATGCACAGGGAAGGAGTCCTGGTTTTGTAACAGAACACATGAAAAATCCAGGGTGAACCCTCAAAATAAATTACTGCAATCTAAAATATTAATTAATGCAGAAGTAATATTATAAACAATTAGGTGTTTGATTATAATTTTTAATGGTTAGTGTCACACGCTATAAACCCGATGGACATTTCTTCAATCACCCTAATCATATTCTCAAGATGACTAGACTCCTTGTCCTCATTAGTAGTTCTAACATCAACACCTTTCACTTTTATACTTTCCTCACATGAAGCAACTCAGAAATGCAAACAAGGGATCTCTTAACTGCAACTTATAAAATTCTTACTTTAAAACTTAATAAACTGTCAACCTTATGTTTTTAACCTCCCAATCAGTGCCTCTAGACATGTTTATTTACATACTCTACAGCATTTGCAAATGTACAACTATACAAATGCTATTAGCATTAGCATATTGGAGGATTTAATATCTATTTTGCTTTTTAAGACTTATAATGTATGACAAAGAAAATAATTCTTTATCAATTAGCAGCTATTTGCTGATTATTAAAACAGGATGAATTGTCATTTAAAAGTTTGGACTCTCCTAGTTATGAAGACTTAGGAAGAAAAACACTCGGGAGTTCTGGAAATACCCGCTTAACTATTTTGACAAAATGTAACAAAACCAGATATGTGTAAACTAGCTGAAAATGGATGTACAATAAATGTTAGGGAAAGTTTCTTAACTATAAGAGCTGGCAAGATGAGAAAAGCCTTTCAACCAAAGCAGTAGGAAAAAAAAAATTAGCTATTTTAAGTTAATCTTCAATAGCTGATGAAGGGGTTTATACAATGTGCCTACCTGAAATACAGGAAATAAAGCACTTTTCTGCTGCTGTGCTCTAGCTTTTCAAACATTAGGCAGCCCTACAAATCCTACTGCCATGAACTTCACTTTGTACTTTGAATAGAGAGGTAGGAAAGCTACAGGTTGTCCAGTGTTCTGTTCACCATCACCCTCTCCTCTGTTCAGATATTCTTTGTAAATAAGCTGTGAAATTAATTGCTTTCAGCTAACATGTAAAATTCCCTGCGTTAATAATTTCCTTTGCACATAGTCAGCAACTACGCCTTGCTTTTACCAAATATTTGATTCAAACCCAGTGATTTTGCATAAATTAGAGGTGGGTTTTACTGTTTGTTGACTAAATTAGATGCTAACTTACAGAATCAATGCAAGTGTTATCTATTCCTGGAGGGCTCTTAATATATTTTGCAATATTTATATTGATACCAGTAAATAAATCTTTTGAGTATCAGGATTAAAATATATATACATCTAAATAAATGGGGAAATTTTACTTTCTTCCAATATCTCTATGGGGTATAGTATTTCTAAGAAAATTCACCCAGGAGTAAATTGAATGCTCTGTAAACCCTCCAGAATTAACCACTACATCACTGTAGGATAGGCATTCTATTGGTTTACAAGTCTTAAAAAACTACAAATTCCTATTTGCTGTTTATTGAAAGCGAAATAAAGTTCCAAGGCTGTACAAACTATGGCTATTAAAATGATTTTAATGAAAAAGACAATTTCTTATGAAACAAACGTTGCTCACCACATAAAACAGACAAACAACTTCTACTTAGTTCTGTATTGCACACTTTTGCTTTGCATTGATTTTTATTAAAAAAGAAAAAAACTATTTACTGTTCTTAAGTTGAATTTCATTATTTAAGCAAAGAGTGGTATATAACTTAAATTAAAAATATTTTTTACCTGGTACAGGCTGTCTCTCATTCCATTCACTTGTGATTAAAGCTTCCAGGATTTTTATGTGGTGTTCCGTATTATCAGAGCTGCAAGAGATGGATTAGGCAGTAAGAATTAGGTGAAATGCAAAAGTTTACTTTAGAATTATTCAAATAACATTGCAAAAATTCACAAGGCCCTCACGTCAGAAATATGGTCAGAAAATTACTTAATTAAACTTATTTTTGTATATAACTAACCCATATTTGCAGTAGAAAATATGATAAAGATGACCCACATACCTTGTGATCTGGAATCTGAAAAGCAGAGGGCTGAAAATTTCAGCCAGAGACCTTGCATTCAAAAGATTTTTGCTGGAGGCTTGACAAACTCTGAGGAAATGTTTGAGCAAATACTGGAGTGTGAGCCAATATTGGGGAGGTATATTTGGAGATCTGATGAGTCTCTTCAGCAACTGAGCATACTCTTCTGAGCTCTGTACTTCTGCAAGCAAACAGATAAAAGGCTCTTGAAATCAGCACAGCAACATTCAAGTAAAATGAAACTAGATGAGACTCCTTTAGAAGCATCAGTTTTACAGAAGAAAATAATTCTGCCCTTCATTAGTGCCGTAAGATTTCTTTCGTCTTTTAAAAAGTAAGGTGCTCAGAGCAGAGTGAAGAACAAGTATTTAAAAGTCGAATGGAAACAGATATGCATTTTGGTAAAAACCGCAATATGTTCAGAGCGTACTGGTAGAAGTCTGTCTTGTGTTTAGCGTTACACATGATTGGGTAATGCAGAGATGCACTAGATAAGTCTCACAGGTGCTGTTCTAACTTTGAAGGTTACCAGTAACAATATCCTGTCCTGAGATATATAACAGAATACTTGGCCCACGTGCTGAAAGACTATAAGGCATACTTGTTTAAAATGACCACTGTAGATGATGAATCTCACATGCATGTATTTCTCACTTCATAATCTGCAACTCCCAATGTAACACAGCGCTCCATGACCTCTAATATATTTACTTTGTCAGCACTGATAAAAAGTTAAAAATTAGCTTTCTGCATACTGGTAAGTCCTTGATTTTTTCCCCTAGTTCTTCTATAGTATTTCTACTTACTAAAACAAAGAGAAGTGTATAATCCCTTGTATTTTCCATTATGTTTACATAAATAAGTAACCGAAAAATGCAGAGTAACGTCTAGTTCTAAATTGAAACAGCTTTCATCAAAAGTGGTGAAGATATTCATGTTTTCTGAGATGTTGCCACATTGCTCAGTACTGTGAGTGACAGTTGGACCACCAGATATTCAGAATTCTAATAAAAGCTTTTTTGTTTGACATTTGAAATAATGTGATAATCATACCTTGAGCTACAGAAATGTCACTGCGAACAGCTGCTGGAATGATGGGATTTGGCAGGTCCAGAATATACCTCTTGAGAACATCTGATAAAGTATGCACATCAAATGTCTCTAAATCTAATGAAGAGGCATCTAAAGGGAAAGAGCAACATGCTTTTTAGACTTTAGAAACTGGAAAAAATATACAAAGGTCATTATATTAGAGCTTCATAATAAGCCAAAATTGCTAACTTATATCTGGTTTATGGGAGACAACTCATAAGAAAGAATGTAAGACACCAAGAAACGTATTTGAGACTAACAACATATGGTGTTCAACACCATGTCCAGGCCTTTAGCATGTGATGAACCAAATGGCTTCCACAGCTGTACGTGGCCTTCTGCCACATACAGTTCAAGGCTGAACTCAGAGTAACATAGTGACTTGCTGCGTGTTGGAAATGTAATGGAACATCAGAATATTTTTAATAGGTCTCTCTCTGTTTTATGTGTAAATATTTTGTGTAAGAAGTAAGTATTAATCAAAGGTTTGGTCAAATGCCACTTCTCTACTGGTAGCTACTTCTATTATGACAAAGTTTGATTAACAACTTGGGGCTACAAGTCTGTAAATATTTATGTGAGTAAGTTGAAACAAATATACACGTGCAGAACTTGTGCTTGGTGTTTTATGCAGCTGTTAGGATTTATCTTGTAGAACCTGATACCCTTCAAGGATAGTTATGTCTTGGGATAACGTTTGGGAGTGTCACATAAAGGAGTATCAGCAGTAAAAACAAAACTAGGAAAATATAGAAATCCTTAGTAGGACCTAGATTAGGGTTCATCCTGAAACATGAAACTCTGGCACAGTAGAGTCCTCAGTGTTTCCAAAAAGATCCATATTTGGTTCAAGAATTTAGCGGCATTAATGCTGATCAACATTCTACGCTAGCCAGGTCCTCTGTAAAGTAACTCATGAACCCATTTGGCCAGTTTAAACTAAAGTGAACAGGGAGGTAGAGGAAATCAGATATGTGGTGCGTCTACAAATACTGTGAAATAAGGCAGCCAGGAGAGGGTAGTGAGAAACTTAGTGCTACTCCACCTCCTTTCTGTTTCCCCTAAATAAAAATTTGCTCAAATCTTATTGGAGACCAAAGAATTTGCATGAGAAAAGAGACATCATGAATATTTCAGATGATAAAAAACTTGCAGTGTGGGAATAAATTCTACAAGAGCAATTATGTGTCAGAGAATCCAACCACAAATGCTTCAGAAACAGTTTTTATTAGTTTTGTTGCTCACCGAATGTTTTTTGTTTCATAAGCCAAGTTAAATCATGCTTCTTCAGTGCTGACCATTTCCTTGAAGTATATCCCAAATTATTAAAGTGAGTACACAAGCAAGAATAAACTTACCCTGCAATTCTTCAGGTGTAATGATATAAACAGACCTGACCTCTTCCATCTGCCGAGCTGGCTAGGTGCAAGTCAACTTTGATTTTAGAGCTAGATAGCACTGTGTTGATGCTAACAGACACTTATCCAATTATGGAGAGCATTTTAACCGTTAGCAGAACAGCACGCTAATGCAAGTTCAAAACTTTGAGACTAAAGATGACTTTGCTCTCTGAATTAGCATTCTGCTGATTCAAAGAGAGCAGGTAGAGGAGATGAGATCTGTCTGAATCCATGTACCTGGATACCCACTGCACTAGCTCTGTCCTGGAAGATTCTGATTCTTTCTTAAAGAGAAGTCAGAAAGAGACACTGTTGCTAAAGGCTGAAATCCTGTTTTTGTTTCTCAAACCTAACTACATTTTAAGTAAAAATACATGTAAACCACAAGTTTTTGATCTTAGGAGATAGATGAACCTTTCATAAAAGTACATCTTAGTTTAGAAACTTAAGAAAGGATGCAGATAAATGAAGACACACATTCATATTGGTGCCACAGAAAATCTGCATTTATCTGGACTGAAAAATACAATTACAAACTAAAAATATGGCTGCTAGTATGAGGCTGCTAGCACCACAAGCATGTCTCCTCTCCCTGCTTGTACACATATACTTCTTTTCTCCTACCACAATCAGCAGAGGACAGCATGCCCTTTTGTTTTGAAAGAATAGACAACTCATCTCTTATTAATTTTGTTAATATTTGCAATTATTAAAAATGAAGAGACTAATTCACAGTTTGAGCTTGCTTTCTTTGTCCCTTTTGTCACCAAGGCATGTAGCCAGCTTCACTTCCCACCCCTTGTATTTTTGTGCTCCTTTAACCAAGTGAAAGCTCACACCACACACTGCACCCCAGCTCGCCAAGTTGAGGTCAAGCACTCCTCCTGCAATAGCTACTGATCTCTCCTACTGCAACAGAGTGCTGCCAAGCCAGTATATTCTGGCCTGAAGCAGTGTTAAAGAGTATCAAAAAGAAAAGGAAATATATTTCAAGAAACTTAAATGCGTAAGTGATATTATTGGTGTAGTTGTGTTTCACTGTCTAAAACCTGAGAACCCAGCCTACAATATTAATTCAATTGTCTCTTTGCCTTCCAGTATCACTCTGTAGCAGGGCAGGTAATGTGCTGTTATTGACATCCCACCTACTGGACCAAAAACTGCACACACAGAACTATATGCAAACAAATGACCATTTGTTTACAAAATAGTAACCTGCAGCCTTACAGGAACAATGAATCATTATCTTGACTCTGAACAAAACATCTTTTTATTCTCTGTATATCTAGATTATCTGTCTTTGAAGAAGCAACACGAATGCAGAGATTAAAATAATTATTCTTGGATAAAAATCACACAATGGAACCATGAAGAAAGAATCTGTAAAAGTGAAAAATACCTTTCATATTAAGTGTAAAAGAAAACTTTTTACTTATATATATCTGTCTTTTTAGTACTATATTATTGAGAACCAGCACATATGAGTGGGGGAGCAAAGAAAAGAGAAGTGATCTGACCACAAAATCTGTCTAGTGCTTTAAGGATAACTGTACTTACCACATTCAAAGATTTGTCTTAAGTCCGTTGAGCTGCTTGAGCCCTGTGCTCCATACAAAGTTGAGCACTCCAAACCTTCAAAACAAAATCAATGGGATATATTAATATTTCAGTGACTGTTGCTCTGACACAATATATTTCTCTTTTCTTCCAGAAGTACTTACAGTGTAAATTAGCAACATTCTTCCACCACCATCCACCTACCACACTAAGAATGCATCTGCTTTTTAAGGCTGTAATACAGCTCCTTGTACACTCAAACTGCTGTGTCTGCAGAAAAAAGCTGGCCAAGGAAGATCAGAAATGCCAGCAGTCCCAGGTATTCTACACAGCTACCCACTGGCCAACTGTAGAAGGCCAGGACTAAGAAACAGATTCACACTGGTATGAGAGAAAATATCTGTATATGTCACATGATATGTCTAATAATCCCCCTGAATAAAAGACACCAATAAAGTGTTTTTGCATGAAAGGTATTGTTTACAACTTTCCTATTTCAGTGAAAATAGAGAAGACACAAGGACCCTGGTATGCAGAGCGCTGATGTGGTGTTTCCTGAAAGCAGCAGTTACTTATGCAAAGGGTTGCTAAATACTGACCCTTCTCACTGATATTAGCAAGCTCCTATTCATTCAGAAAAGGCTTATGCTCTCTTAGAAGTGTCAGAGCAGTATGTGAGAACCTATGCACCAAGGACAGCAGCCTGATTCTGATCAAGAATATTGCTTTTCCTCTAGTTCCTGGCTTAGGACCCCTGAATGATCAGGACTCACAGAAGCTGGTCCTTACCTCACCAGGACTATGAAGTCAACATCAGAGGAGGTGCCAGGAGGACAGAAATAGGGTAAAAGAAGTAGAACACAGAGAAAGAAAGAGGAAAGCTTCAAAATGATGGGGAGACATCAACATGGGAAAGTGGGAAAGAAAAAGACCATAAAAACAACACTGGCTGGCTCAACATGCAACACCAATGAGGAACTGGCTCCTGAACCATAAAACCATAAAGCTCTTGTAACTTTTTCATGTTTTATTATTTTCTTTGCTCCATGCTTTGGGACAAAATATTACTTGTTTCCCTGTGTGGCTGTGTATCCAACTCAATATTATGAAGGCATTTCCATAACCAGCTGGTTAGAAAAAACAAAACAATACCAAACCCTTCTCCCTTACCTTTTAATAATACTCATATTAGTTGACTTATTAAATGTCATTTGAGATAAGCTTTGGTTTTGCTCCTACAGTCCAAATAGCTCTATTGAGCAGAAACCAGTGCAACAGACCTTAAATGAGATTATTTCAGGTATTAAGTAATGTGATGCATTATCAGCTCTAGAAAGAGGAGATGCCAGCTCTGGATCCAATTCTGCAGTCTTGGTTCACATAAGCAACAGAAAACGTTGGTAGATTGTTCTTCAGCCTACCTTTCTTTTCAATGGTCTCTACTAACTTGACAAGAATTGGGGGAGCAACATCAGGAGGTGCAAACTGCTCTGTAAGATCTGGAAGTGAAAAAGCTGTAAAAGAAAAAGAAGAAAAATAAAGCCAAGCTACAGGTGAATGCCATTACTGTTTATGAAAATAATGACATGTAATGCAACCACTTAATTTAATAACAGAATAAACATGCCACGTATCAGGGCCACAAGAGAAGACTCCATAAGCAATCAGAAAATGGAATAAAAATTATGACAATTGCATATTTATAGCATTTTCTATAGAACATCACTCAGTCCTAGAACAGAACTCTCCGTACTGTGTGGGAAAAGAAAACATAATGAAAGTTTGTAGTCTGTGGTTGTGCAGAAATACAATGCAAGGAAAGAAAGAAAAAAATCTTTTGGTCTGAAACATTTACATACAAAACAGATTTACAAAGACCTGAAAGACCAGCAGTAGAAACAAGTATTTCACACTCGTAAAAAGTTCAACAACTTCTTTTTATTTCAGTTTTCAGGCATTACACTACTAACAATCTAGTTTACTTACAGCAAGAATTTCCTTTTCTATGAGGGCTGCTTAAGAATAAACAGCAGTATAATTGGAAAGGGACATTTTGTAGATTCAAACAAAACTGCATATAGATTTTATACAAAGTCAGTTTTCAAGCAATCTAGTTTCTTCATGAAGAGAACATACTCTATAAAGGAATGTTTTGGCTCTGTGATGTGAGGGATGATCTATCTCTAAATAAACAATTTTTGCCAAAAGAATAATTCAAAAGTTTTAGAGTGGTTCTGTTTAATACTTGAAAGCAAGAATGTTTACATGAAGATATTAAACTACTGCCAGAAACATCTGGCATAGTTTGCTGGATTATGATTGATAAACAAAGTTTAATCATGAAGTAAAAATTGCCAGTTGCCTAAGTAATGGTAATCTCTGTCCAATTAAACTCACCATGGACAAACAGCCATTCTTAAACACATATACACATAGATGCCTGCATGGATATGTATACATACATCTACACCCCCCCCCCATTCTTACAAGACTGAAACTGAACAAAGTGATGAGGATAACTAAATAAAAGCAGAAAAAATCCTAACAGCAAAGTGTGAAAAATTTTGACATAGCAAAAAAAGAAATAAAAATACAACAAATTGAGAATGAGAAAGCAGACAATTTTGGCTGATAATTCACCCTATTTTGGATTACATAATTTCATAAAAATGTAAACAGTTTTACTGTGGTTTAACCCCAGCCAGCAACTAAGCCCCACACAGCCACTTGCCCACTTTTCTCTGGTTGGATGGAGAAGAGAATCAGAGGGGTAAAAGTGAGAAAATTCATGGGTTGATGTTCAGACAGTTTAAGAGGAAAAGCAAAAGCCACACACACAAACAAAGCAAAACAAGGAATTAATTCACTACTTCCCATGGGCTGGCAGGTGTTCAGTCACTCCAGGAAAGCAGAGCTCCATCATGTATAATGGTGATGTGGGAAGACAAATGCCATCACCTGTATACTCCCCCAGTTTCTTCCCCCAGTTTTATTGGTGAGCACAATGTTATATAGTGTGGAATATTCCGGTGGTCATTTGGGGTCAGCTGTCCCATCTGTGCCCCCTCCCAACTCCTTGTGTACCTCCATCCTCCTTGCTGGTGGAGCGAGGTGGGAAGAAGAAAAGGCCTTGACATTGTACAAGCACCGCTCAGCAACAACTAAAATATCCCTCTGGGGTCAAGAGAGTTCTAACACCTGACCCACACTACAAAAAGACAAGTAACATGACTACATGCTAGCTACATTATAAGTCATGGACAAAATATAGAAAAACCTGACACTAGAGTCATACAAAGCACTAAAAGACAGCACTTTAAGGATTACAGCACTGTATAAGGATTATCTGCATAGCTTTTTAGAGGATAGGTTCCTTCTTTGGTGACACCTTAAGTGAGCTGAATAATGCAAATGAGTAGACATAATAAACTCTGAAGTTTTGTCAGATAGTTAACCTATATGTAACAGTGATTAAAAGCTGAATTCAGAGAAAGCACGTTATATAGGTGTAGCTGACCATCGTATCTCCAAGTATAGTTATTAATGCAGAACAAGCTACTCAGGGAAGAAATGGACTTTTCAGCTCTTTCCATCTTCAAATCACTTTCAGATTCCATCTGGAACACCTCTATTAGTTTAACATTGTATCTGCTTCATCAGACACAAGATGGGCCCAAATGAAAAATTCTGCCTTCAAAGCAGCTTCTGCTCAGGCATACTAAAATACAGACCATCTGATTTGTAATTTTCAGATCAAATAGTTCCTTTCAATCCCAAACTACAAATCAATCTTATGATGTGGGTAAATTTACTGAAAGAATAAATGGAAGATCAGAGTCATATCAAAGGGAATGAGAATACTTAAATTACGAGATACTAATGGCCTCAGAGAATGCTAAGGGCTTAAAATGGATCCCCTATATGATGGCAGAGGAAGAACAGGTTTAAGAGCAGAGCTTACATATTTTTACCTATGAAAGTAACTTTCTTCTTCCCTAGGCAGCTGGTTGCATTAAGTTTCTCCCTCTTGCATTAACAGCAACAAAATTTCATCATCTCTGAACAAAGATGCTCATCTCATAGTTCCAGCCGAAGGCAGCATTTAACCATAACCAACAGTCTAAACTGAAATTGAGAAAGGAGAGATAGATAGAGAGGACGGAAGTCAAACCTGACAGACATTTGAACCATATCAGGTGACAGCTTGGAAGTTCAGGGATCCAGGCTACTGTGCAGCACAGAGAATTGATTTCTTCCATTAACCAAGCTGTGCCTTCAAATGGTGGCAAGAGATAAAAATATCTATAAACAAGGTGTATTTAGAAAAATAATTTCATTTCCCAGTTAGATTTAGGGATTAAATCCAAGCAAAGCAAAGAGGAGAACCCACTGTCAGGGGAAGAATGCAGTTCACGGGAAGAAGCACCTTGCAAGGTGAAGGCAAGACAATACAGAAAATAGTTTGTCTCCTTGGGACATAATGGGGTGGTATAGACCCTACTTAGGTTACCTGAACAAAAAATTACTTTTCCTGCAACCTACCTGATGCTCCATGCTTTTCATCTAAACTTTAAGGAGAATTTTAGCTTATAAACCAGGTTTTTATCATAATCTGTTACTGAATATCTTTGTTGTACAGTGTTCATCGATCAATACTACTCTTAATTAAAGTGAAGGCTTTTGGGAACTATGCATTTCCCTTTATATTTATCCAAAATCTGTAATATGTCTATAGAATATGTGTATGCAAAACAAACGTCACATTGCTTAAAAAGACAGGTTTCCAATACTTCTCTGTTACCCTAAAATATGCATTTTAGGAGTTCAGAGGATTTCTGATGTCTCTTCCTCCCTTTATCCTATTTTTTTTCCAAAACTGGAAACTTCTATCTTCCAAAGACATTGCTGAACTTCAGATATGACAAGAAACTTTAAATGAATGACAATATATTCCAAAAGTAAGCAGTCTGTAAGATGCTTGTGCATTTGACTGAAAACTCAGGATATTCACCTATCTTTTAGTACTATGCACATGTACAAGCTCTGTGGCAAAAAAACCACAAACAACACACAAGACATGCAATGACACGTACAAAACCTGCAGTTACTTTCAGTGACAGCAAAAAACATCTAAGTCACATAGTCATAACGCTCCGCAACACAGAAGAAAAACACTCATCTCATCAGCACGTAGGAGATGGTAAAAGATGAGCAAATTAAAATCACTTAACCTACCACCTTTTCTAGGGTTGACTACTCATTGTAGCACCTCCGCTATAACTAGTGCAAACATCATACTGACTTTTGCTTTAAATTTTCCCACGTCTGCACCAAACAGAAAATTATGTTAATTTAAAGGTGGAAGGTCTCATAAAACACACAACAGTCAGGAAAAAAAAAAAAAGATTTAACAGTACTCACAGAACTGAAGCCACTTTATAACATTGACACTGAAGACAGCCCATTTGGAAACAGTCCATTTAAGTTTCAAAACGCTGAGAGGAAATCTCAGGGGCTAAGCTGAATAAAACTACACCTAAATGGGATGGGGCGGGGGGGAAAGAGGAATTTAGTCCTGGAGCTAGAATACAAGTTATGCTTCAGGAAGTTATGATTCTAGCTTGGGTGTTCCAAAAGAAAACTCAGCATGCATATTCAGATGTACAAAGGGAAAGGAAAACTTTTCAGACAGGTCACTTTTAGTGAAAGAGAACTGAATGAAAGCTCACATGCAAAATTTAATACTTGATTTCAAAATAATCTTTTGCTTTGAAGAGCACCGTAGGACAGCACAGGGGATTGGAGAACTAAATCCTCACTTAAGGATCTGAGGTACTTTGTAGATTCCTTTGCTAAAATCCAGTATCAGTTTTTCATTTAAAACAATTAATTTCCTCTCAAAACTTCTGGTTTTCTGTTGTTCTTTTTCTTTTTTTAATTCCAGGGTCTCCAAAATATTATGGTTCTGAAAACTATTATACATTTTTATGCTTCTTCCTAGGTGTGGTAGTGGGTCTCCAAATAGTAAGGAAGCTTCTGATGACACTTAACAAAAGCTGGATTTTCCACTAGCTCTATTTTTACCTTGCCACTGTGAGAACCAATGAGATGAACCAAAAATCAGTGTTCTCTCCAATCTGCAAACTCTTCCTTCTCCCCAGTACAGACAGGACGGAACAGTTCTAAGGCAATGGCAATGTGTGGGAGATGAGAGCATAACTTACGTTCAAGGGTTGCCAACACAGCTACAAAATGCAAGATGAAACCAGCACACAGCTGCACCTTTTGGAAGGGTTCTCAGTAAAAAGATACACTTTAGTCTTAGTACCTGGCAATGACAAGTGGAAATTTAAAGCTACAATTTGGCTTCGGATGCTTCTGAGCCAAATCTTTCATTACTGCTAGAAGAATAATGAAATGGAAAAATATATATAATAAAACCCCTTAAAATGTACAATCCACACCATGAAAAGGAGTTTAATTTCTAAATATTTACAGGAACTATATACTAACA